GTGTTGAGTCTTAAACATGCTGAAAGCACCTGCAGAGGTTTCGCCCCCTGCTGAGCTTTGGCCAGCTGTGGCGGGTGTGGACCAGTGGACCAGTGGACGGCTCGCTTCCCCCTGATGCTCCTCCCCCAGGGGTTTTCCTTTTCCACGTTGGACTTCTGTTCATGAACCAAGAATTCTCAGTCTTGACAGGTGGTCTTCCCTTCATGGTCCCGTTCTGTGCTGTCACCCTGGCTCCCTCCCTCCTTTCCAGCCCTCAGCAGCTGGCGGGAAATGTTTATAGAAGAAGCTTTTCTTTCTCCTTTTAATAGCCTCCTAGGCTGCAACCTCCCAAATGAGAACCTTGTTAACCAGAAGGACTCCAGGCTACTAATTTATATTCTAGTCATATGGAGAGGGAAAACAATTGCAGAGGGAGAAAGGAAATGTCAGCGTATCCCATGGACTAGTTCAGACACCTTCTCCCATGAGGAGTGTATGTACTCGTTTCTGCTCTGATGCTAAGAGATTCCTTCCGGATTTTAGGATTGGACCTATTATCTTTGGATCACGTGGATTCTCTGTACCTCTTGTGGGTTTTCTGAAAGCAAGAGTAACAATTTCACACTCCTGCCATTTAATAAAGAGATGTATTATTTTCACATAATAACAACAGAAATGTCAGTACCTCAGTAAAGATGGCGTCTGAGCTCACAGTGGTATCAAAGCGAGGCTTGAGGGCTCACGGTCTGTTGTCCTCCGCAGTCACTGATGGGCCCACATCCCGCCATGGCTGGTTATGCAAGAGCCATAAAACATACAGGCGGAAGTCTTTGGTGATCAGAATTCTAGCTCGATGGTTCAAGGAAGGCTTCCAGGAGGAGGACGTGCATTCGGAACTGGGCTTTGGAACTGGTGTCATAGAGAATGCGTGCTTTCCCCCGATATTCCCTTCTACTTCCACAGGAATAGAATCTGATTTTTAGCTGGGTCCTTCTCCTCTCCTTGCCCCCCACCCCTTCCCTGGGGAAGGACTATAATTCTTTGGAATGTACCTTGCAACAGTGGCCACAGTCGCTCCCTTCCCTGTATATGTTCGTATTTCCCTTTGCAAGGGGACTTTGTAGCTCCTCTTACTTGCAGGTGGAAATCTATTTCTCTACCCTTGAATCCAGGCCAGACCTGTGGCTGTCTTTGGCCAATACAATGTGATGGAAGTGACATTGTATCAGCTCTGAGCCTGGTACCCCAGAGACCTTGCACACGTTTGCTCAATCCCTTGGAATCCTGCCCCGTCGCCATGTGAACAAGCCAGAGCTAGCCTCCTGGAGGCTAGGAGCCCACATGGAGCAGAGACAAAACGTCCTAGCTGAAGTTGTCCTAGACCAGCTAGCACCCAGCCAACCAGGCAGCTGACTGCAGGTGCGTGAGTGGGCTCAGGCAAAACATCAAAACTGCCCACCTTAACCTTGTGCCAATGGCAACCATCGAATCATGGGATAGATAAGGACTTGTTGTTTTAAGCTACGATGGTATGAGGTGATGGTTTGTGACATAGCAAAACTAATACAGTGCCCCATGCAGCTAGGTGTGTCCATGGAAATTAAGTTTTGTTGAATGACAAGTAAGCAAAAATGGTATGTGTGATTCTCGGGGAGTTGCCTTACACAGAGGAGGCACGCTTTTCTTTCAGCTTTCTTCCTTCCTCGCGGCAGGAATGAGAAAAAAGGAGCTTCAGCAGCCGTCCTGGACCATGAAGTGAGTTTAGGAATGGAAGGAACCCATGACAGAACAATAAGCTAGGAGGAGCTTCTTTCTCTGAAACCATAAATTACCTTTCCAGTCTTAATCCTGACTACCTCTAAATTTATTTAAGAAAAGAGATTAATAAAATTAGGTTGATCTTTAGGCCACTGTTGTTTTGAGTTTTATAGTTGTTTATAGATGAACCTAATCCAAAATAATACAGATGGTCAGAATTTAAACAAACGGGTGACAGGTGAGGGTACCCATGTCAGAGGAAACTCATCAGATGGAATAGTATGGATAATGTTACAAAAAAAAGGAAGTGTGGGTAGTTGGTGCGAAACAGTGAAAATTTCCATGGCGTTGCCTGAGGGGAACGAATGGGTGATAGAACTGGCAACAGTTAGGGGGCCGGCTTTTGATAGACCATTTAGGGCAGGCTGAGAAATTGGGTAAAACAGATGTGTTTAAGCAAATCCGAGTGAGAAAGTCACATATTCATGTTTTTTTCCTGTTCATTGATTTCACTCCCTCTGGGGAGTTTATATTCTCGTGAGGGAAACAAGATAACAAAATAGTAGGATAATTACAGACTGATTACTGGTCTGAAGTTAGTAAACTGTGTGATATGATAGAGACAAACTGTTTGGTGGAGGTGGCTACTTAAATAGGGAGCTCAGGGAAGGGATTTTTGAGTTCTTAAGTTCTGTGCCGGGCATTGTGCAGACGTCTAGGGACAAGGGATGAATGGCACACAGTCCCTGTCACTGAATCACGGTCAAGCGTAGAGTGAGGTGAATTGGGGACAATTTCCTAGGGGAGGTGGGAGAGCCACAGGAAGCAATGTGGTCTTCCCATCCGTGTCGGTCAGCTGTGCCTGCAGCGAAGCTGCGTAACATACACTCCTCCACAGATCTTGGCTTGGAACAAATGCTTTGTTTTCTCACTCAGACCTGCGTGTAGGCTGTGGTTCTGCCGGGCTCTGTTGGATCGGCGTGGCTTCATGCAGGCTGTGGGTTGGTTCCGATCTGCTCTGTATAGCTCGTCATTCTGGGGCGAGGGGCTGCCCAGGGCTTGATCCTTTCATGGTGGATGGCAGACGTGCAAGAGATCAAGCTCAATCACAGACGCGTTCCGTCACATCCACTCACATTACTGGCCACAGCATGTCGCATGACTGTGACTGACACAGTGGGTCAGGAAGAGCACGCCACCCCCAGGGGGAAGATGCAAAGGCACAAGGGCGGTAAATTCCATTAAGGGAGGGAGTGAAGACTCGGGAGCAGTAATTCAGTCTATCACACCATCAGAGCGCGAATGTATTTCTGAATAGTGTTACTGTTTTTTTCCCAGAAATCTTACATAGCTCTTGTCCGATGTAATGCAAGTCGCCCTATTTCGTTTTGTTTAAAATTTGACTTAAAAAGTTACATATGAACACATGGTGAAAACTTCAAGAAGCATTACTAAAAGATATAATAGTGAGAATAAGGCTGGTCCTTGTTTCCTTCCACAGAGCTAAGTACTGTTTTTCCCTCAGCGGTGTTCTGTGTGTGCACAAGCAAGTATTTTGCATGCATTAAAAAAAAAAAACCCACATAAAATGGCATCCTGCTATACTTGTTCCTCTGCACCTCCCTTAGTTTTTCCTATTTAACAGCATATCTTCGAGGTAGTTTCACTCCAGTGCATTGAGACCGATTTCATTCTGCTTAATGGCCACATTGTTTTCCATGATGGGGCTGTGCCATAATTTATTTAATCAGAGCCATACTCGAAAGGCATTTGCCTTGTTTCCAATCTCTTGCTGCTATAACCAGGGCCGCATTAAATACCCTGGAACACCTGTCTTTGTGCACATGTCTGAATCTGTCAGTAGGTTAAACCTCTAAACAAATTGCTAGATCCAGGGGTAAGCATCTTGAAGCGTGGTGGCTAGTGACCCCGTTTCTAAAAAGAAAGAATTCCTTCCAGTGTGTCTATAGCTCTTTGTCCCTCCCTCCTGTCGTCCTCGGATTCTTGTCGCATGGTACTTTTTGAGGTCGAAACAGTGGAATAAAATTGCTCAGAATTATCCCTGTAGGATCTCTGGGGAAACTTTGAGTAGCACCCTTTGCATCTTGCCACGTGGTCCCCAGTGTGAAGATGGCAAGAAACTCGGCCCTGCGCTTGTAACCCACATTCATCCCTTTAGCACGAGCACACCTGTGTTTTCACAAACGTAGTTCCCGAAGGAGTCCATGCCGCAAGGGGAATTATTTATGTGCCTGGGAGAGCTCAGTAAAAAATGTGCACAATCCCCTTTAATTTGATCTGCTTTCCTTGTAGCACCTAAATATTTAGGGCAAATAGAAAATAGTTCTGATTTACAATCTCTATAAAAATTTCAAACAACCTAATAGGACGTTTGATCATGAAATTGCCTGAAATAATGTTGGTATGAGCCAGCCATATTTCTTTGAAATGGCTTGCAAGTTCAGTGCAAACCCCTAAACATGGATATTGCCCCCCCTACTAATAACAGTCTTATTAATAAAAGAATGATTTCTTTACTGATCCTTGGCAGCTGCGTCCCAGTGCCTTCGTTCAATAAAGGTACAGATAATAACTGTCAGTGGAAAGAAAATGTGTTGAGGTTCCCAGGAGAAGTGGTGAAGACAAATCTTTTATTAAATCATATCAAATTGTGTTTCTTGTTTACTTTTTTCATTTTGCAAGTCACTGTCATATCTGCTAGTTTTTGTAGACCTTGCCTCAATTTGTCAAAAAAACCCCACAAAAACAATAAAAACCCAAAAAACGTGGAGGCTGACTTACATGCTGCGTGATCAATCAGGATGATAAACTTCATATAATTAACTGCCATAATGGCATTTCTGAGTCTGTTTCTCTCTCTTTTTTTTTTATCCCTGCCGAAATCATCTGAGATGGGTTAACTTCTGAACATGTTCTCAGATGGTCTCTGGATGCCTAAAAAAAGAGCAGTAGGAAAGTGTCGTGGATACCTGGGGTTTTTACCCATTCACAGACTCATGGTCCCTCTTTGAGCAGTAGTCCCCCCATTTTCCTTTGAGCTGGGCTCGATCCATTCCTAGTGTAGGGGCGGGCATAGGACCCAGATGCAGCCAATCAAAACATCATTGCACAAATTGGACCAATCAGAGGCTGTGAGCATCCTGGGACTTTTAACTTTTGGGACAGGGAACTTTTTGGATTGGAATTCTTGAAAGAACAAGAAATAAACCTGCTTTCGGTTATCTTTTTTTCTCCATGGGAAGAACCCTGTTGAAGGAACACAAAACAGAGGAAGTCAGCTGAGCAGCGGAGGACGACGGGTTCCTGTGGGCATCGCTTCAGTGTGTGAAGTCTTACCCGACAGTCCGGTAGGCTGATACGTTTGAATATTTCTGCTTACATCGGTTCGCGTGGGGTTTCTGCTCCTTGCTTCCAAAGAGGCCTCAACACGCGTGTGCTCTCCAGCTTTCCATGAAGTGCCGTATGTAGGAGAGCGTGTCAGGCACCAGCGTTCCCCGTGTCTGTGATGATAACATGACACCAGCCCTCTTCCTCCCGCTCTCAGTGGTCACCGCTGTAGAGTGGACTGTTTTCGGACTCCAGCCCATAGCTCACCAGAGGGTCTTGGCCCAGCGTGTCGCCTCCTTCCTGAGAATTCTCATTGCTAGAATGACTGGTGATTGGCCCATGCTCATGCCCTGAGGCTATGGTATTGACCTGTGCTGTGCCCCCCCCCCTTCCTGCCCCGTCCTTGCCCCGGGTTCAGAAGCACCTTCTAAATGCACATGTACTTCTCTGCCCTCACGGGAGAGTCCAGAATCAGAGTTCCAGGCATCCGGGTGCTGGTATCTTCTCCCAGCTTTGCATCGCTAAGATCTTGGGTCCATTTCTAGCTCTCTCCTCGCCTCTCTCAAGTTAGGTAATGACCTTGTTTGTGGAAGAAGAGATGATGTAGCCATGTACAGGGACTGACATGGACAGTGTGCCTTCTGCATATCAGACACGTGATGGGCTGACGTGGCTCACAGCATCGTGTGTTTCCCACAGCGCTTAATGTTGCTGTCTACTTAATACTTTTTAGGGCCTGGACACTGCCAAGCGTCTTGTCAAATAGTGTCTCATTTAATCCTTCTACAGTCAGGAGAAAGGCATTGTTCTCTCCATGGATGAGCCGAGGCCGAGAAAGGTTAGTGACTTCCTAGGGACAGGCCGTGAGGAGCGAGGTTTGCCCCCAGCCAGAAGGACCCTGAGCCCACTTTTCTTACTTCCTGCGCCAGCACATACCGTGTTATTATACCTGTGGAGGAGGTTCGCCACAACTGTTTACCAACTGAAGGAGTCTTCCCAGCAACTTTGTAAGATGACTCTCCTTCATTCCATCTTACACATGAGCAAATTTAGGCTTAAGCTGGTTAAGGAACTTACCCAAGTCTTGGAATGAGCATTCATAAAATATAATCCTATAATCCTGAAATTTCCTGCTTCAGTTGAGAATTGAGAAAGATATTACAGAAGCTCATGGGGTTTTTGCTGTTTTCATACATCCCCATATAGACAGGCTAACGAAGGCTGCATGAGGCTGGGTTACCGGGCAGAGAATGGCGTGGCCATTTTTATGACAGAAAGCTGCATCTGCGTTACTGAACCTGCACTCGAGCCCCTGATAACTTCTGAGCAGGCAGAACATTGCTTAATGGTGCTGGACGAGGCTCGAGTGAAAAGGACTCTAGTGGGGAAATCTTTTATGGAAAGCCAACTGATTGGTTTAGGACTCCAAATTGTAATTTCTCACTTCTTAGGCTCTGGTCTCTTGAGCCCCTGTCTGTATCATGGATGCATTTGTTACGGAATTCTGGAGGCTTTGCCCAGCGTACAGAGAGCTGTGAAAGAAGGCAGGCAAGCTCGGCGTGTGGAGAGAGGCAGCGCGTTAGGCGTTTAGCAGTAGAAGCTGGAATGGCAGCTCTAAAGGGCACGTCAAGGAAACACATCTCCCAGGGGGTCTGAGAACACGGGAGCTCAGCCCAGGGTCTGATGTCGTCTTCTCTGCTTGAAAGCACCCACATCCTGCTCAGCTAATGATGAGCTTTCTCTTCATCTTTCCTCCCAACACCAAGACCAGGCAAAATGCAAGGGATGAAAGAACAAGAAGCAATTTCCAAAGTCTTCAAGGTCCCCAAGATGGCTTTGGAACTGAGTCACACTGCTGTCATCTCCCCTAATTTACTTGAATTTTTGGAGTTGTTATTGGCAGATCCATAAATTTTCTGAAAGTCAAGAGAAAATACCAGCTTACAATACCAGCACTAAAATTTTCAAGGGCGTTGTTTTGGGAGAGGGTGAAATACTGTCGTTATCCTGATGTGCGCATGGAGGCACCTAGGTTATGCCATTAGTTAAAAATCCCAGCCATGGAGCTAAGAATGCTTGACTCACCCTTCCTCCTTCCCTCCCTTCCTTCCTTCCATCTTCCATTCATCCACTCAACGTTTATCAAGCATAGACAATAGACCAGCCATTATCTACAACTACCAATACTTGGTTCTCGGGAAGACTGCGTTTTTCGTTCCCGTATAATTATGGAAGGTAAAGTTGCTCTTGGAGTTTTCATTAAGGTGAAACAAAAGGTTGTATTGAGTTTATACAAATTTTGACTCAAACTTGGCATTGAAAATCTAGTGCAACTTATTTGGGAAACGATGGCCTATGGTACAAGTTGCTGCATCGTGCGAAAAGATGGGCCGCAAGAAACAGTTTAGGGTTGGGCTTTGTTTTTCATTAGAAGCTATGAGTTGTTGTTTTGCTTGGTCAGGTGTTGCTCGTCACCTAAAAATAATCCTATATCAGTGAACATCTTACATTCTAAGAAAACTCCGATGTGAGTGAAATAATTTAATATACTGGTACTTTGTTACAGTAGAGGGTTTTTTTTTTTCCTTCTTTTTTGGCCCGATTTTGAGTCCCTCTCCTACCTCCTACTTCCTCTGTGGCCTTGGGAAAGTTCCTTACCTTCTCTGACCCTTGGTTTTCAAAACAGCTAAGACAAATGATAATACTTGCCTTGTCATGTTTTCATGAGGATTCAATGAGAAAATGCTGAGAAAGCAGTTTCCCCACCATTTTGACACTTACGGGGCGGAGGATAGAATATCCCTTCTCCCTGGTCAGAGCAAGCCCCCCCATAGTTTTATTTCCTCTTATTATGTTCCTTCCCCCATGCCCCGTTCTCCCTTTAACTCTCCTCCCGCGCCGCAGGCCCTCATTCTAGCGTGCGTGACACATGTTTTCTCAGTTTTCCTTTCATAGGCCAGTGTAGATCTATGTACAGAATTGATAAAATATAGAGCGTTGGCTTCGTGTTTTTGATTAATTGACTTACATGGCTTGGGGCCCCAAACCTCACGTTCCTCCACGCAACACTATATTTTTTGATGTCTCTTCGTGTTACTCTGCGTAAATCTAATTCATTAAGTTCTGCCTGTGGCCTACGAGCCCATGCAGACAGACCGCCGCCATTTGCTTATCCATTCCCCTAGTGGTGACAAATAGGATCATCAAAGTCGTTGCTGTCACCAAACTTTGGGAACATCCTTGCACCTGCGTCCTTGTGGATTGGTGGGGGACGTCTCTCTAGGGCACCTATCCGGGGGTTGGGATCGTAGCTAATCGCGGCGAGCACTGAGGTTGCTCCTTGGAGCGGCCTCTTCGCTTACACTTCTCCCCGACACCGGATGCTCTCTGACTTTGTAATTTTTGCCCATCTGATGGGTGTAAAGTGCTTTATCATCGCTGGTTTAATTTGCTTTCCTCTGATGACTAATGAGCTTGAGAATCTCTTCATACACTTATTAGCCATTAGTGTTTCCTCCTCATTAATTTTCTTTTCATAGACTTTACCCATTTTTATACTGGGTTTTCTGAATGGTTCTTGTTATTTTGTTGGAGTTTCTCTGGAAGTCCACACCAGGGGGTTTTAGACATCACAGATACCTTCTCACAGTCGACAGGGGTGGTAAATGTGCCGGCGATGTCCTTTTTTGAACAGTAATCTCCATTTTGATGTCATTATAAAAGGGGGAAAACCATGGAGGGAAGGCCTCCAGCTGTCTTTAGGAAACCATTATGATGCAAATAATACAGATGTGCAGCTAGATGCCCCTGAATTCTGGTCCCAACTCCGCCGTTAGCGGTGTGACCTTGAACACATTCCTTGAATCTCTGGACCTCTGTTTCTTCTACAGTGAGAATCATGCTCATCCTGCAAGTATTCCAGATAAGATGTGGGCATAGAAATGAGATCACAAACTAGTAACACACAGCAACTGGCACACAGACGCTTGGAAAGGGGGTTCCTTTCCCTCCCGCGTGAAGAGGTGAACAGTTTATCACACAGCGGCACCATTTGTTTCCCTATGAAATGGTCTTCTTTTCTTCATCGGAAGTCAGCTTCCAAACTTTGCCTTTTCTAACCCGATGGATAGAGAGAGCAGGCATACACATTGAGAAAAATGAAAGAGTAAAAAGAAAAATCTACCTCCCAGCATCCCCTTTTTGCAGACCTCTTTGCTTTTTCATCTTTAGAATGTAAACTCCTTGAGGACAGGAAGCACAGCAGGCACAGTGTTTGGCTCCATGCATCCATTTCACTCCAGGCGGTTTGTCCAAGCCAATAGATTAAGCCCATCCCCCTTGTCAGTGATTGGTTTAGGGGTGGGCAGGCCCATGCTAATCTGGGCCAATGAGATGCTAGGAGGGACTCTCTGGGGGCTTCTGAGAAAGAAAACTTAGTTTCCCTCCTTTACGGTAGTTGACTTAAAGAGGTCCACTGCCACTGTTTCTGCTGGCAGCCTTGTAGTGAGGGGGGCCCGGCTGGGGGTGAAGCCCACACTGGAGTGGGGCAGGGGGGTAGTGTGCAGAGAAATTCTGGGTCCCTGCTGTCAGGGTCTCTGCATCAACCAAACCTGAAGCCCCCATACCCTCTCAACAACTTTCTATTATGTCATCGTAAGTGATTTATTATTGATTTAGTCAGTTTGAATAGTGTTATAGATTGAATTGTCCCCCCACCCCGCCCCAAATTCATAGGTGAAAGCCCTAATCCCCAGTGTGACTGTGTTTGGAGATGGGGCCTCTAAAAGAGGTCATTGAAGTCAGTTGAGATTGTAAGGATAGGGCCCCCATCCAGAAGGCTGGCATCTTTATAATAAGAGGAAGAGACACTGAGAGTGCATGTGCTCAGAGAAAAAGCTATGTGAGGGCACAGCAAGACGGTACCGTCTGCTAGCCAAGGAGAAGGGTCGCACCAAAAACCCCCCTTACCAGCACCTTGACCTTGGAATTCCAGCCTCCAAAACTGTGAGAAAATTAATTT